AAAAGTTCTCTGCGAACACTGATTCTCACTTTGTTGCGTTAAACAGTAATACTATTGCCATTTCAGATAAGATAAATAACGGAAACTAGTGAACATCTGATTCACAATCAATGAAAATCAGTTTTAACAATAGCTATCTATATGTAACAGGTAACGTCATAAAGATTACATAGATATTGAACTTAGTGGTTTTCTCCAAACCATGGTTTAACACAAACAGATAAACTAACCCTTTCAACGCATTCCACAGGGTTGACATCAGCCCCAGTCTCATGTTGGTGAGGTGTGCAATCCACATCCCTCGGGCGTCAGATTCGTTTTGCCATTACGTAATTGTAAATAAACTGCAGGTGCTCAGCGGCCGAACAGGACAATGTGGCTTTTTGGTGATAAATGTGGCAGGTTGACATGACCTGCGGAATCTTTTACTAATCATTCCATTTCATGCTACTACCAGCGTACCCTACCTGGCTTCACATGCAGGAATTCAAGAAATATCGTTGGAGTAAATTTTTATCCTTACCAAGTTGTCATTAGAGTCGCTTATTCCAGTAATCTCAAGTTATTCTCTATTTTCTGTTACATCAAAAAGTATGGGATAGAATTCAACAAAAGATTATCATAATACAATGCAATAATGTAGATAATAATATATAATAATACATATAATATATATAATATATATAATTATATATGATACAAATATAATTAGATAATTAGATATATGTAAGATAATGTATAATAATATTAATATTACCAACGACCGACCGACAACGCAAGCGAACTACCGATTACCAACTCATAGATCAGCACGATCCCCTTCCAGCTCTCAGTTCGGGGCGTGTATTCGGTCTAATAATCGTTTAGGTATTTCACTTGAGATAAGAACACAGATAAATACTCCGTTATACGACAATGATTTCATACGGACAGCTCCATCTGGAACTGCATCAACCAGAATCAGAAAGATAACGCTGGCAGTTCTGTTGTGAAAAAAGACGATCACTGCCGTTTTGTGATTTTCCAAATGCCCATTGTGACGAGTCAACTCACGAGGGGTTCAGCCTGGGTGACAGTCGCAGGAGACATTTCTTTACCACGGAGTAAATCCCTCACCCCATTGCAGGAATCTGTCCTGAATTGGTATGTTGGTGAATTATTCAACTGCCTTGGTTTGATGAGAAGATAAGAAACCATGGAAACTCGGACGGATGTAATATTTAAAATCTAAATGGGTAAGTATGCTTTCGTTTCAAACGAGGAACATGCTCGATTGACGTATCCACAGCCGGATCACGCATATCCAAATCGCAGTACCTAAATCAATTTTAGGCTTCATCACTGATATGGAATCGTGGTTTTACGACAACGCGAAAGAAAAATACTCATAGTCCACTCAGTATGTTTTGAAGCTGGAGGTTGCAAATCAGATTCCTTTTTCCCCATTACGTTTCCGTATTACAGGAACCATAAAACTACTCTAAACTACCACTGTTGTGCTAGGCGCAAGCACCGTGACCAACCTGTCTAGGCGAAAGAAACGCTGTCCGAATTTGGCGACCGTTCTACGGAATCCATTTTATTCTATGCTCCTATGCGATCATGTAAAGAGTTCTAATTGTTTTCTTGCAAAGAGCAAGTACGTTTGAGAACCACATAAGTGTTGCTTTATTAAGGTGATCATGTATTCAAGACAATAACGTTTTAGAACTGGACTATAACGCACTTTTCACATTAGAAATGTATCCAATATTTGTGTTTACGATGAAAAATTGTCCGGTTTTACAGTAATAATAATGGTTACAAAGGATTCAATTTTCTACCTTTGCTTTGTTCTAACGTCAACATCATTGAGTATATGGGTTTGATTGATTGGGAACATCTGAGAAAACCGACCAGCACTCAGTGAGATAAATGTTGTGATCAATACTCAAAGTTTAACCAAATGTTGCATAATCGAGTAATTCTGCTCCTTTCTGTTTATGAGAGATAGAAATTAAAAAAAAACAGTGGTGGGGTCGACCGAGTGAGTGGGCGTACGATAAACGTTATCTCTGACTATCGCACGGGGACTTTTGACCTGCGATTGAAATCAGGTCGCTATCTGCGACTGATGTACATGCCGGTCATTTTTATCCCCTCCCCCAAATCATTGACTGCAGCACTGGAAACAAATAGAACCGTGATACACAGCGCATACACATCAGTGGACACACCCGGGTTATGATAAGACAGGCAAATGACCTCGAACCCGCTCTAACGACTCCCACCGGTGCGGTTACAACAAGTAACTGACTTGCTCGGTCAAAACGTTAGTTTACTCTGTTTGATGATATAAAACTGGATTCACTTTTGAACACGGGATAAAATAAAATAGTCTGTTCTGCATCTGCTTGATCAGTTGTATGCGGTAGATGATACCTTTAAAATTTATGAGAAATGTGAACTCACTGTTGAGATGACGAAATTACTACGAATTATTGCTTTTTGTAGTTTAGTAAGTTCCACTTGCACTAAGTTGTTGCTGTCAGAATAGTTATGTTCATTTTATACGAAAATAGAATAGGTAGGTAATTCTAAACGACGGTAAACATCTGACAAATAAAACACCTGTGATTTCTACCCCTAAACTGAACGTTAGCATCAGATTGATGCCTAACTGAAGTTAGCACGTTGTAAGTTTTTTATTACCCTCCATGCAGTTCCTATTTGACATTGAGCTCATCTCATCTGCACCCGTGAGATGCCTCAATGGATCACTGAAACTGATTCCCAGTGATTTTATGCTTTCCAAAAGTCAAAATATGATGGGCCTTGATGAAATCTGAACCTGGGTATAGACGCCATTGAAGATTTGCTGATCTGAGAGACAGGGTACGTATTTGGGGATGCAAGTGTTGATTTCGCCATGCACTGCTTTTTCCGATTGAGATGAAAACGTGAGATTCGTATTTCGAATCACTGGCGTCCAGTTATTCTTCCATTCTGAGAGATGAGATGCTGAATATCAGTAGGAGAAACAAGGAATTTACGTAACTTCCAACACTAGCTTCGCACTTTAAATCGTGCTAAATA